TTGAGCATCAGAGAAGTCATACGATCGCACACCTCCTGAATAGGGGAACGATGCTCTTTTCTAGGCTTGGGCTATCGTTCTAGTGCAGTGGTCGGCAAGCCGCGGCTCTTTACACGCTTTAATGCAGCTCTTGTGTGCCAGGCGCCCGCTCCCCTCCCTCCTCTCGGGCGGCAGGGACTCTGCAGCGTGATCCAAAAAAAAAAAAACAGCCAGGGCAGCGCGCTCAAATGCAATGATTGGCCAGTGTCGCTGCCACTCACATCCTGATAGCCAGTGATTGGCTGTCAGGATGTGTGTAGGCGGGGCAGCGTGACGAACGTGAGAGGAGCTAGGCTCCTCTCACAGTCCGCCCTGAAGACCGGAACGGCGCGGGAACACGGCGAGAGGAACGCGCGGAGCAAAGGTAAGTGAATTGACACAGGGGGGACTTGGCTTACTACTTGCTACTTACTTACTACTACTATATGAGGGATGAATTACTATAGGGGGGATGAATTAATATGGGGGATGAATTACTATAGGGGGGATGAATTACTATGGGGGATGAATTACTATAGGGGGGATGAATTACTATAGGGGGGATTGAATTACTATAGGGGGGATTGAATTACTATAGGGGGGGATGAATTACTATAGGGGGGGATGAATTACTATAGGGGGGGATGAATTACTATAGGGGGGGATGAATTACTATAGGGGGGGATGAATTACTATAGGGGGGGATGAATTACTATATGGGGGATGAATTACTATATATGGGGATGAATTACTATATGGGGGATGAATTACTATATGGGGGATGAATTACTATATGGGGGATGAATTACTATGGGGGATGAATTACTATAAAAAACTTATTGAAACTAAAAACAGTGTACCATCCTATGTATTTTCAGTTTTAAAAATGTGGCTCTCAAAATAAATTTCAATCGTGGTTTTGGCGAGATTTGGCTCCGTTGAAAAAAAAGGTTGCCCACCACTGTTCTAGTGGCTGACAGAAGCAGATAGGAGGCCAGCTTCTGCTGGTGGGTGAACAAGCCCGGTATGGGGCAATGTAGTAAGACAAACGTGGTCTCCTTGCTTATGGTGAAACAAGGTATAGAGAAGGCCAATTACGCCGGAGTAAACCCTAACTTTAAAAGCTGGGACCGACACTCTTTTCTCCCACACTAAGCTAACAGCAATTACTTTCATGCCTGCACAGTCTGAGTAAATACCCAGTGATTCAGCCAGTCCTCCTCAGTTCTATTCCCCTTCTGTTCTGTCCTGACCACAATAGGCACGGAAGTAGCTCCATGCTAGCGCGGTCAGTTTGTGTCTTTTCTTCCTGTTTAAGAGATACAGAACATTGTGCCGAAGCATTGCGTGCCTGAACTCCTGTGGTCAGATTCCTGTTCACATGCCACCTACCCAGCCCTTCAAAACCTGAAGGTGAGGTAAGAAGGGACTGAGCTTTAAGTTTATAAAAGCAGAACTTCACTCTCTCAATCATCAATGAATACTTTTAATCCTTATGCTGCTAGCATTGGTAGATAGATAGGAATATATATTACATTTACTTGTTTTAATCTTTTTTTTTCCAATTTCCTGGTTTCCGGGTCTAGGCCAAAATTATGTCATACATCTCAGAAGTCTTCAGGAGGGTAGAATGGGTTTTCTCAAGTAAGCACACCCTCCTACATGCATGCCTGAGCTAAGGACAAATAGATTTCAGGAAGTAACTGCTACAGGAGTCATCTGCCCTTACTCAAGATGGCCATAGCCGGAAAAGATAGGGGGAGTTCTTCAAAGTGATTTCTCAGCAAAACAATGGATGACTTTTCTTTGAATATTAAAAATGAATAAAATAAAATTATTGGTTTGTGGCGCTCAGATGCAGTTTAGTTCTGCTTGAAGTTATACAAATAGCATGCAAGACAATATATATTGCAACCATTTCTGGCTTGCCTAAGCCGTTCTTCAAGCCTAACATCTAAATACATAATAACATTATACAACATGAAGAACCCCCAACGCACACAGGTATATTAGATCCACAGGCGTACCTTGGTTTACGAGCGCCTCGGTTAACGTACTTTTTGGTTTACGAATGAAAATCCATTGAAAATAATGGCTCGGCTTACAATTTTTTTTCACAATACGAACAGATTAATTGGTTTACAATGCATTTACGAAATTAATTTTTAATCATGTCCCGGTACAGTAATTATGCCTTTAAAGTGCACTTTATAATGCGTTTTGAACAGATAAAATATACCAATCTTGTCTCCAAATATCACCCAAACTGTACTCTCCACTCCTCGCACAGCCTCCTGCTCTCTAGCTCCCTTGTCTCCTCCTCCCACGCTCGTCTCCAGGACTTCTGCAGAGCTTCCCCCATCCTCTGGAACTCTCTACCCCAATTTATCAGACTATCGCCTACTCTGCTCACTTTTAGGCGCTCTGAAAACCTCTCTCTTCAGGGAGGACTATCCTGCCCTTCGCTAATAATGGAATCTTCTACTCCTCCTACCAGTCCATCCCCCACAGTTACTACCTTTTGTACCACTAGCCCCACCCTCCTAGATTGTAAGCTCCAAGGAGCAGGGCCCTCCTATCCCTCTTGTATTGAACTGTATTGTTACTGTATTGTCTCCAGGTAAATTGTAAAGCGCTGAGCAAACTGTTGGTGCTATATAAATCCTGTATAATAATAATAATAATATTTTTTTTTTTTTTTTTTACTTTTTTCTGACCTCCAGAACGGATTAATTGGTTTTCAATGCATTACTATGGGAAACCGCGTTTCAGTTTATGACTTTTTCGCAATACGAAAAGTCCCGCAGAACTAATTCAATTCGTAAACCGAGGTACGCCTGTATAAGAAACCGCCCATTCCTTGTGCAAACAAGAAGGATCGAATGGACCTTCTGGCCACTTCTGACCAGTTTGCAGTTAACTGGACACATATTACATATACAAAATGGACAGATGAAAAGTGACGCGTTTTTATTGTTCCCATTGTAATATTTTACAACTCACTCTTCCTGAGGTATTTTGTTCATGATCTCAAATTACAAAGGTGTAACAATGACATTCTTTGCCTCATGTTTTCCTTTCAAACGGGTAAATGATTGCAAAAGCAGCCAATTAAATATTAACCACACATTAGCTAGGAAAGACTCGATACAGATCTACTTTAGTTTATCAATGGGCAAAGTGAAAGTGCACATGAAAAGCTGGGCCGCTGATAATAACAAATCACTACAGAGACAGCTATTAGTTCACGTTTACAGAGGATGTGTTGTCTCACATGTGGATGAAAACTGGCAGTAAACAGAAGACACCAGTAATTATACCAACAAAATGCATTCTAATGGGCTGAAGGGTTTCGTGAGTCACACTGGCATGCTACTAACAGATGTTCACACTGTGTAACTCCTCTTCAATGCCACAGACACAAATTAGCATCAGTACATTTCCTTATGCCTTGATACTGTATCTTTCCATCCTTACCGCTCTTTGTCTTGGCAGCTCGGGGAACAAGTGTAGAATTATTTTTTACTTACAGTACACAAGTCATAAGCTATGGTCAGTCTAGTGAAATGTGGACCAGGGTGGATAAAAATCAGTGATTTTTTTGATTTAAAAATCGGATTTTTTTGATTTAAAAATCGGATTTTTTTGATTTAAAAATCGGATTTTTTTTGATTTAAAAATCGGATTTTTTTGATTTAAAAATCGGATTTTTTTGATTTAAAAATCGGATTTTTTTTGATTTAAAAATCGGATTTTTTTGATTTAAAAATCGATTTTTTTTTGATTTAAAAATCGAATTTTTTTTTATTTAAAAATCGGATTTTTGATTTAAAAATCGGATTTTTTTTATTTAAATTGGATTTTTTGAATAAAATGCTTTTTGAGGAAAATATATTACCATCCAAAGGTTATTCCATCATGAAATAAAGATTAGTATTTTAATTATGTAAAATAAGGCTGTATATGTTTAATTTTTTTGGTAAATAATTTCCATGAATCCATTCACAATGTCATGCTCTTCCAGAGGTTTTTGTAAGATTATTGGGCAGTTTCTCTGCCTACAAGATATTATCACAGATGCTTGGTTTACTTTGCAGTTCTCAAAACTGAATTTGACTCAGCGGAGATCACATGCCTCTTCTTCACAGCAAAAATGTTATAACATGAACAGAGTTAAGAAAAAGACCTTAATCCTAACTTCTACAAACCTATGAATACAGAATCAACCCCTTCAGTGCTAAGTTTCAAGAAGTTCAGTGAATAGAATAGAAACAATATTTTTCTGATTGTTTGGAGTGGAATAGATCTGCACAAGAAGAAAGTGAAGCTAAGTGTGAGGAGGAAGGGGCTGACAGTCTAAGTTTCTTAAAATATATATATTTTGTTTAGCCAAATTAGTTAACAAACATGGAGGTTTGTTTAGGCAAATAACATATGCTGGAATGTTATTGTTTCAGTTGAATAAATCTATTTAAATTGTTATAATTAAGGTAATGATTATTTTTCTCCTTCCTAAGTACAACAGAAAAGTTGTCCAAATATGAATGATTAACCTATTAAACTGGGGATAAAAAAAAACTAATATGAAAAGTTGTTATTCTAAAAATCTTCATCTACTTGCATATTAAAGTTATACCAGCAAGAATTAGTCTATGTAGAAAACTAGGATTTAAATCAAGCCTTACTGACTAGCGATTTAAATCATGATTTAAATCAAATCCACCCTGATGTGGACTATAAAAAAAAAAAAAAAATTTGCTCAGTTGCTCAGACAGAATGGGACTCCTGACCATTTTGAATGCAGACGACCAAATGTGGAACCAAAACTGACTAGCTTTGGACCACTGCATCCATAGTAAATCCATCCACATCAACATCTTCAATTTCTGCACGGTAGCATTCAAGGGCATATCTTTTGGGCTCAAAAACTATAGGTGGCTGATACATATAGACCATGACTGCTAGAGTGGCTTTCAGTAATAGTATTTACCCCTGGTTCACATATATACAGCCGTGCGGGCTGTGTTTTGTGTGGGTACGAGAGCCCATTCATTTGAATGGACTCCCGTGCACCGTGACACACAGGGAAGAAGTCCCTGCACGTCTTTGGAAAAATGCAGCCCGCACAGGAACCTCAGTTCCCAGTACGGTTGCGTTTGACAGTGCGGGTGGCATGCCATTAGAACTAATGGCACCCATCTGCGGGTCCGAATTCCTTTGTGTGGGTGGTGCAGCAGCACAGATCTTCGCACGGATCCACAGCGGCACCACCCGCACATATGTGAACCAAACCTGACTCATAATATTATGTATTGATGTTGCCACATTGTGGCTTTAAGGTGATGGTTTTGACCTGAGCCAAGTGCCTCCCAAGCAACAGGTCTTCAATTGGAACTAAGCTTGGTAAACAAAAATTTACCAGCAGGTTCACTATTGTGGTACAAAGGACTTTTTAAGCATTGTGGCAAAAAAATTATTTTAGGCCTCATGCACAGTGGTGCACAGGGCCGCATCCAGCATAAATCAGAAGTATCAACGCACTGGGGAATTCAAAGGAATCGAGTACATCCACTCATGAAAAGGAATTGTTGTGCTTGGCAGTACACAATTATACAACACCGGCACTTGCAACAACACGTGCATGCATAACATACAAGTATATGTGTTTTACACTAGTACCAGCCAATACCTGCGTACAGCCATTATTTTTCTATGGGTGGCTGATCCCCACGCCTGAGCTTCCCAGCTATCGATATACACTCTATGTTACACGCACTCATGTGCCAAGCAAATTATACAGCTTGTGTGTGTGTGTGTGTGTGTGTGTGTGTGTGTGTGTGTGTGTGGTGTGTGTGTGTGTGTGTACACACACACACACACAATACAGTGTAGGGTTCTCAATCATTCCTAGCATCGGCACAGAAGTTGCATCATAAGTGGTCTCCCATTCATCAAGACAAGGGGTAGTCGGGCCCAGAAGAAAATGGCAGTGGCAACAGTGGAGAAGGAGAACTTTGACCTTGAATCCATACAGAATAGTACCCCCAGAGGTAAGTGTACCACAATGTGCAAGTAAATGCTGCCCAGTACTCTAGAACCCCCAATCTCCCTTCCCTTCCCCAACAAGCTGTGCTTTAATAGGTCCATTAAGCTGGAGGGCTCAGTTCACAGATTGGTGTGTGGTGGCCAGAAGCTATAATCAATAGTTAGGTCTATTCTTTTCTACCAATCATACTGGAGATGTTTTGCATCCAATGCTGCACAAATTGAGGACCAGGCCAATCTTCACCAGTAACATGATTTCAAGCATAGCTAGCAAGAATCAGGAACGAAGAGTACTCTATAAACAAAGACCTTCACGGTTTCAGAGATCTCCCAGCATGCTTGAAAAAAAAAAAAAAATCAATCGCTGACCAAAAACATTCAGTTTTTTCTGTAAGAAAGTTTCACTTACTACATACAAAGTATTTCACGGAAGTATTGCAGAAACTGGTTTGTAAGATCCACTCATCAATGTCCAGCAAACAAAAAAACATAAATCTGGACCTAAACAAGGATTTAAAAATGATCACACCCAAGAACAGAAATAAAGGGCAGCTTGCCATTCCTTGGGTGATTGTTTTGCTTTTTGTTTTTTACAGACTTCTGTTCCTTTATTTTCACCTGGCAATCCTGCCTGTTCGGGTTCTTTCAGAAAGGTGGTAGGCTTACCGCCTGCTGAAAAATGGCCCATGGTAGAACACTTTTCAGAGGGCAGTAGAGCACAGGTTCACAGGCCTTCGGGTGTGCTACTGCAGCCTCCTGACAACTGTTTTTTTTATTTTTGTAATTGGCTGTCACAGTGATCAAGTGACTAGGGCCTGCCCTGCCCCCTCCTGATCATTAAAGCGTAGTTCCACCAAAAAAATAAAAAAAAAAAAATAAAAAAAGTCAGCAGCTACAAAAACTGTAGCTGCTGACTTTTAAAATACAGCCACTTACCTGTCCCTCGGTCTAGTACTATCTTCACCACCGCTGGTTTCACTGGCCGTCTTCTCTCCCTGGCGCTGGCATCTTCAGTGTGGGCACCCGGCTGTGACAGCTTGCGGCTTCACAGTCGGGTGCCCACTACACATGCGCGAGAAGCGCTGCGCTTTGTGAATGGCCCCGTAGTCTTCTGGGACCTGTCGCGTGTCTCATAAAACTAGGGTTGACAACTTACACTTTCGATCGCCTTGGTGATCGCAGCAGAAGTGGGAGCGGGTACCTGCTCCCCAAAAGGTGCCAATCCTTAATGGGGAGCGGGGGACAAAGCCTTAAAGTGGAACTTTCCCTTTTGGGTGGAGCTCCACTTTAACAGTGACCTGGACATGTTGGCGACAGCGCGGTTACCTTGCTGGGGGCGTAAAGTGAGCACTGTCGCAGCACCCAACAAAGAAAGCCAGCTGTATTCATATTTGTGGCAGCCTGGCATTAAAGTTCACCGCTCTGCTGCCACATATAAGCGTACTGCATTATAGGATTAACCATAACCTCTATGCTGAATGTTATTTCAGAATTGTTTTATTTGCCAATCTATATAATAATTCTCTTCACACAGCCATGCCCTGGACCTCACTGCAGACTACAATGCAGTTTAGGATTTTTAATGAATGCACAACTGTATTAAAATGGATCTATATCTGGAGCAAAGGAGAACAGTACACTATGAACGTACAGACCAGAACAACTGAGCTGCATTTTAAACAAGGATAAATTAATTCAAAGGAACATTATAATAAAAAATTGCTTATCATTTGCCGTGAATTTTATGACTATAATACATGGATTCTCTAAGTGATATTTAATTTACAGCCTGTTATTTATAGCCACTCTCCATTACAAGCATACCATAATGGTTGTTAATCAGTTATATTAAACTTCTTCACTCAACAAACAGTTCTGATCTAATTAAAAAAACAGGATATGGTTTAAAAATGAGAAACTAATGAAATCACTACACACTGGATAATAACCAGTTCATAACCAGGTTTCCATACAAAAATTTTACCTTTTTTTTTTTATTTACGATAATATATTAAATGTATGTACTAGATAGGCCAGGAAACTAGAGGATGGGCTAAGAACTGTACCAATTTGTGATTTTAAAAAAAAGAGGCTGGAACATCTTAGACCAGACATTTCAGGTGCCTGGTTGCACAGATGGAGGTCTGTAAGAGCCAGGAAAAAGGTGAGTATTGCACCTTTTTTCCTCTAGTCCTAAGATTTGATGTGATATTGGAGTTTTTTTTTCTAGCAACTGATTTAATCACTTAGGCTACTTTCACACTGAGGGGTTTTTGAAGCGTTTTTGCATTACAAAAAGCAACTGAAAAGCTCAAGAAAAACGCCTCCCTATGTATGTGAATCTATATCTATGTATGTTTTCACACAGGCGTTGCGCTTGTGGTGCGGTGTAAAAAACTGCTTGGGGTATGTTTGGTGAGTTAAAAAAAACGCCCAAAAATCGCCTCTTCCCATTGAAATCAACTGAAAAAAAAGCCTGGAAAGGGCCTGAAAAACGCCTCTGAGAAGCGTTTTTGGTGCAGTTTTTAAGTCACGTGTCCTTCAAAAACGCTCAGTAGCCTTAGGCTACTTTCACACGGAGGAGTTTTTGAAGCATTTTTGCATTACAAAAAGCTCCTGAAAAGCTCAAGAAGAATGCTTCCCTATGTATGTGAATGTATATCTATGTATATTTTCAGACTGAGGCGTTGCACTTACGGTGCGGTGTAAAAAATTCCTGCTTGCAACATCTTTGGGGCATCAGGCGTTTTCCATTGATTTCAATGGAAAGAGGCATTTTTTTAAAACTCACCAAACATGCCCCAAATATGTTTCAAGCAGGAGTTTTACACCACACTGCAAGCGCAACGCCTCAGGGTGAAAACATACAGAGATATACATTCACATAAATAAGAAAGCGGTTTTCTTGAGCTTTTCAGGCGCTTTTTTTAATGCAAAAATGCTTCAAGAACTCCTCAGTGTGAAAGTAGCCTTAATCTTTGCCTATGTACAAGTTTAGGCAGATGACATAACCAGGTTTTCTGTTTCAGGGTCTTTTCAATCTCTTGTAGCATCCTATGGAGCCACCCTTGCATGCAGGGACTGGAGTTGTGTCTCCTTACACTGAGTGAATCAACAGAAACCACAGTCGAGTACCTAGGATGGCAAGGCATTCACTTGTTCCTCAGTCCTCTTCTTTCCCCCATCCTTCACCAAGCTAACAGACTGGCTCCAGACTACAGTGTCCACTCTTTTCGGTGAAGACTGGAAGTTCAGGGAAGCAACACTCAAAGCAGGAGCCAAGAAAATTGAAAGTTGTAAACTGCAAGTGCTAGGGTAAGAATTTTAACAAACAGATTACCAAGAAACATTTATTTGATTGTCCTCAGTGGGTTAAAGTGTCACTAAACACACATCAAAAAAACTAATCAATAGATGCTGTATTACATGCTGTTCTCAGTCACTCAGTTACTATAGGATTTGTTTTCTGTATTCTGCAAAAAAAAAAAAAACTGGTTGATCCTGCTGTTCTCCATCTCCCCCTTCTGTCCAACTCTCCATTGTAACTAGGGAAATTGCAGAGCAGTGCTGGCAGCTCTGCACATGCTCAGTTTTTAGCGAGTTTCTACGCTGAGCATTTCCTCCCCATCACATCTGAGCAGCCCATGTGACTATAGAGCCACACATGTGTGCGTATACACAGTGGTAAATGACAGCCCACTCCTCCTCCATGCTCACTAACCAGCTAAAAGACAATGGGGGCGGGATATTACATGTAGATTGATGGAGGCTTCACCTCCACCTTATTCCAATACACAGGCTGCAGGGATGTAACGCAGCCTGTCACCTGCAAAAATCCACCCACACCACATAACTGCCAAAAAATAATAATGATCTGATTTCAAATATATATTTCTATGACAATTTAAAACAGGTTTTTAATCTCAATTATTTATTTTTATTCTGTATCCCAAAGGCTGTTTTTTTTTTTTTTTTTTAAATATGTAACTAGCAGCAGAGGACTAGAAGCAACTCCTGCTTATGTTTTCTTCCAGACAGGTTGGGAAAGAGCTGGGTCATGTGACAGCTGTATATCAATTTTTTATTATTTTTTTTTTAAATTAAAGTAATTACAGTGTCATCATTCACATACAGAAATAGAAGGGACAATGTAA